GAACGCTTGTAGCCATGCCTTTTAGTTGTATTGATCTATTTCAATGCTGTTATTTGGAACAAGTCAAGTCTGCAATAAAGTTACTACTAACTAGATTTGTGAATCCTTTTAACTGCCACATTCAAGTACAGTTGAGTTTAAACTCTGTATGACAGGTTCACTGTGCCAAAGCTGGAGCATATGAATGCATCGTCCTCATGCAGCCTCAGCCTCATCTCACACTTAGGAATGCAAACAGGACAACATTAACAGACAAACCATTGTAGCTCTTCAACAGAACCTCATAGATTATGTGGGCATTTGTAAATCTTTATGGTTGAACGTTTAATTAGATTGACAGGTATGACGGCACTTAACATTTCTGAGCAAAGCACATAATACACTTGCATAAAATACCTTTTTGAAGATGTAGTACATATGATTGGTTACAACAAGGGTTAAAGATCGACAGGGGTTAAAAAATCAGGGGTTATAAAAACTCTAACAAATGTTAAATGAAAAAAGTTGAAGCTAATGTTCAAAAAATGTAAAGCATAACATAGACTAAATCAAAAGGTAAAAATCAAACAGCGGAGTGGATGATACAGGATAATACAAAAAGAAGGAATAAAAGCATTATAAAAGAAGCAAATAAACAATTGGTCTGAAAAGCGCTGCTCTCAGAACTAACAGCCTTTAATGATTTTGATAAACAAAATGTTACCAGTCAGTGGTTATTACCTCAATTTACCAACAAATGTGGAGATCCAAACCAGTTGTGGAAATTAGTTTTGTTTATGCACAAGTAAATGTCAACAATTTCAGTCTTTGACTGTAATTATTGATAATTAATCAAACTATATTAAATATCTCTATAAAATCTAATTGTTAACAGAATGATTTAGCACCCGCTTTTGGTGAAAAAGATTACTTGTAAAACACATTTCCTTTATTTATGCTGGAATTAAACACAATTCATTCCTTGTTACAAGCGATTATTGTTTTTCAAAATACTCATACTAGACCTCTCAAAATGAAGAAACAACAAAATGGATCAGCAGAATTTATAAATTTTGGTATCAGCTGTTCTTGTACTGTAAACCCTTTTTCAAACGTCAGCCACATTTCATATTTTAATTTCAAAGGGTTAAAGTTGGTGAAGCAGACTGAGTGTTCAGTTTAAAATCGCATGATAAAAACATTCAGTTTAAAGATTTGAGCAAACTTCTCCTAAAGTAAGCCTCAGTGTAAATCTCTACTTCTACTTAACTACCTGCCAAGGTATTGTTAAAAAAATGAAAGGCAAACAACTCTTTGCATGATGTCTTCTTAGAGGCAGGCTGCTGAATCTCATAGCTGCAATCGTTGGATTGCTTGTTGCTACAGTAACATGGGAAAAGGGAAGATTGTTGCTGGTTATTCCAAAAAAAGAAGTTAAAAACAATCCACTGGACTTTGTTTCCAATTTTGAAGAGGTTTCGCTTCCCATCCAGGAAGTTTTTTCCTGCCAACAACAATAAGCTGCCTTTTCTCGACTGTTTGGTGAGCATGTAAGGAGATGGAAACCTCAACATGGAATTGTATAAGAAATCTACTCACACAGACCAATATCTTTTTTTTTTTTTACTCGCAATACCCACTGGAACACAAACTTTAAACCTTACAACATCACGCTGAGCATATCCCTACAAAAACAGAAGGGGTGCATAAAGAACAGAAACGCATCAAAGATGCTCTCCAAACCTGCGGATACCCAAACTGAGTGTTTGTCAAATCAGCAAGGAAATCGAAAAGACACGCAGCAGAACATAACGGTGAGAAGATTAAATGCAAAAACATTTATTATTATGTTGCTGGAGTCTCTGAAAATCTCAAGAGGATTTTCTTCAAAAACAAAATGCCAGTACATTTCAAACAAAACAAGACCCTTAAACCGAGACTAGTGCATCCTAAGGACATAACCCCCAGACCTAATATGAGCAGAGTGGTGTATGCAGTTCAGTGCTGTGAGAAATGCTCTCATCTTTATACTGTAGAAACCAAACAACCTCTCCAGACGAATGGCCCAACACAGAAGGGCGACCTCCTCGGGACAAGACTCTGTGGGACATCTACACCCTACGGACAAAAGACATTTTGTTGAGGACCAGAATGTTCACATTTTAGACAAAGAAAATAGGTGGTTTGAGAGGGGCGTGAAGGAAGTCATTTATGTTAAGAAAGAAAAACCAACCTTAAACAGAGGGGGTGAACTCAGGTTTTAGCTTTGAAAAACCTACAATGCACCAATTGAGTTGATCCCTTCCCGTTATCATCCCAGCCCCTGTACAGGAGAGTGAAGAACCTCACCAATTCAGCCACGCCAACAATTCCCTTTAACGACCCCCCTCTCAGACACTTTGATTGGAATGGGGGCCGTTTGGCTTCTTTTGTTAGCCTGCAATGCCCCATACCCAAGGGGTGGACCCCTTCGTCCATTTTAATTTGCATGTTTTCAATACAAAAACAAGGTTTTGATTGGCTACTGTATGAAACCTCAAACTCGACACTATTCCTGACATTTTGAATTGGAAAAAGCATCCTAGATGGGAAGCGAAATGTCTTCAAAATTTGAAACAAAGTCCAGTGGATTTTTTTCAACTTCTTTTTTTGGAATGACTATGACCTGGATGACTGAGAATCTTTACCAGCACATTGTTGCTGGTTGGTTGTTAGGCCTAAGGAACTACAGTAGGTATAAATAACCACAGTAAATTCAATTTAAGAGATTAAAGACATGATGCATCTCCTAGGATCTTTTAAGGCTTTTTCTATACTCACTGCATTGAGCACAGCGGGGGGGGGGGGGGTCCAAGCACCACAAGTTATGCAATCATGCCATCGCTGCCCTACACGAGCAGCCTTTGCGCTAGGTTGCGCACCTCCAAACAGTTGTAAGTTGATGCTGATCGTGTGTCGGCCTTGTTCCAATGGCGAGGATATAAAGTTGTCCTCCATGAACAACTTTGCCTTTTACTACATCACATTGTTCCGATGGCACAGTTTTTTTAAATGCTGTGTTGTTACTCCCTATTCAGTGACTGAAAACAGTATATGCAAACCACAGGCATACTTTCAGGAGTGAGTTTATTGGGTAAGCTTGTGGATACAAACAAGGATTTTTGTTTCCATTTCCAGTCTGAAACAACAACGCACAGTATATAATGCACTCATTTTTATTTAGTAAAACCATGTTTTTTTTTTTTTTTTTTTTTTATTATTATAAAAAAAAATGGATGGGCTTCACAGGCAGGCTGCTTTTCCCATTGTCACCTCTCTCTGTGTGCAGCAGTTAAACCTACCATTTATTTTACTGCCTATGTCTGTTTAGTTGCCATAAACACAGCTACTACTCTAAAGTGGCATCCAGCATCCAGCAGCTTCTGCACTTTGCTAAACCAAATCAGCAATAAACTGTTCTATCTGCCATGACTTGTTAAATATTACCATCTTGCAAGACAGCAAAATTATTTTTGCAAATAAGACTAATATGAAAAAAAGGAACATCTTACAGCCTCACTGACATGGAAACGAATATCTCTGCTTTATTTGTAAGCTGCTGATGTCACTTTAAAGCTTTATTTTTCACAAGGTTTAAGTCACCTTTTTCTCCTGAATACCTTTGTATCTTACACAAGCTGCAAAGTTTAATAGTGTAGTCTTTTTGGGGTGTATGCTTTCATCTGTCAGGTAATAAAAGACAAATGGCTCTGTTTCTTTCTTTTTTTTGTAGAACTTCAAAAGGAAACCCATCTTTATGTCTAAGCTTCTTTTCCCTCGTTCTGTTCCCCTCTATGCGAGTTAACAACAGAGATGTAGATGAAACCAGTTCATTGAAAGGTTTCATGTGATTAAAAAGCATTTGTTGAAGGCAAGTGGAGCAAAGATTTAGATAGAGATTTATTTTGGAAGTACTTGTTTTCAGGATAGCTCAGTAATAATAATTATACTGGTCTTGCTAGGATAACTTTTTATCATAAGAACTTTTCTAGTTCTGTTCTGCTTTCATTCCTGAGTTAATTTGCCCATCCATGATAGAAAGTTCCACTCTTTCCAGATTTGCCTTGTTGCTTTGAGATCTGTGAGGCCATTGCAGTACACGTAACTTGATGACATGTTCAAGAAACCAGTATGAGGTGATTTGAGCTTTGTGGCATTGTGCATTATCCAGATGAAAGCATCTTCAGACAAATTGCATGGGCTGGTCAAACAGGGATAGAAATGGTCTGCACCAAAACTTGGTCTGTTGCTTTTAAGCAAAAATCACTACTTAGGTTCTCAAATTGTGTAAATAGCTAACTGTATCCACTACATCATTAAAGCTAGCCTGAATATATGAAACTACTCATAAAACTTGAGCTTTGGCTTAACTTGAAATTCCAATATGTCTGTGATTATAAATATTCCTCTAACTTAAAAAAAGCCACATTAAATCAGTTTAACTCTACTTCTGTACTATTGTAGATCCTCAGCATGTTTTTTTTTTCTTTCCAAATTTAGATGTCTAAATGCAACGGGTTGTTGGAATATGCCATTCAGATTTCTTTATTTTTTTTTCTTTCGAACAACGGAACATACTAAAAAAAACAGCTACTTAATAATGATCCAAAGATGGAAGTGATGTGTTAAATCTTCAATAAATGGGACATGCCATCTCTTCTGGCAGCTCTGTTTCAATAATCTAATAGTTAAATATCAAATATACTGTAGATGCATTTCTTAATAATTTTCTGTAAATCCTGGTTTAAAAGTTTTTAAATGAAATAAATATAATACAACTGAGTCCTTGGTATCATTGCCCCATCATTTTTTTCTTCACAACCTCTTCTCTCTCAAGCACAATAAACCCCCACTCCATTTTAGAGAAGCTCTCTCCCTCGTTGCTTTCCGTTTTGCTCCTTCTTGCTTTACCCCCATTCACCCCCTCCCCCCTCTACATTCTCTCACTCTGCATTAAGCCCATCTCGTCTCGTTGCCTCTCTGATCCCTGGAGCCTTGCTCTGCAGGAGCTCGTCCGTCCAGTGCGATCCCTGCTGGTCTCCAGTCGCCCTCTCAGCGCTGCACGTGGGAAGACGAGTGGTAGCAGAAGAGTAGGAGTATGCAGTAGAGAGAGAGAAAAAGATGACAGAGGGACAGAAAAAGTAAGAAGTGTGAGCATATTTGAATTTCAGAGTAGAAAAAAATGAGACAATGAAAAAAAGGATGAAACAAGAAGAGGGGAGCAGAAAACCCCTGAAAAAACTGGAATTGGAAATGCAGGGTGGCACAGGGAATAAGTGAGCGAATGGGAGAGGAGGAGAGAGAGTAAGAAGGGAAGGGAGGGAGGCGAACAACACTGCAGACACTCATCCACTGTCACTGCTCCGCAGCCAGAGGACAGAGGCAGTGCCGGCATCAGTGGAAGCGGGTACGATGGAGGAGGACGGCTGCACCATCCGACTGTGGCTCAGTCCCCACAACTGACCACATTCCTTGAGAACATCCATCCAAGTTTGGAGCAGAACGATTAAAAAGGGGGGAAACTGCCATCTCTGTCCTTCACAAGATCACAAGTTCTGGAGCTCAACTCCTGCAGGACCAATCGTTCACACCCTTCACTATAATTTCTCCCATTGTACACGCCCACACTCCTCATCACACCCTCTCCTTCAAACTGAAGCCTGCTGCTCTTCCTGTCGCCTTCTGGACTTGTTTTGGTTGTTTTTTCATCATTGCTTCTTTTGCTGACCTTTCGAGCTGAGTGGATTTACTTTTCTCCTGTGGTGGACCATGGGGCAGGGGTGGCAGGGTGTAGGAGGAATCCCCGCGAAAAGGACAGGGGGGAGCAGGTACCTTTTGGTGGCATTGCTTCTCTGTGGTTTCTGGATGGCTTACTCGCAGACAGACGATGGGAAATCTGTCTACTTCTGGGAAACAGGTACCACTAAACCACTAATTGCACGTTGAAATTGAGCTCTTTATTTACATATATGCTCTTTATGAGAGGTTGCCAGGAATTGGTGTGTGCAGTTGCTGCAGATATGGTATGTAAACTCCACGCACTGCCTGCTGTTTATTTACAGAAAATGTATGTTGAGGATTGTAGCAGGGGAAAAAAACAGGGTTTAGGAACTGTTTTCCTGCTTAAATTGACTGCACTCATTAACAATGCTCCTGGATGCAACATAAATCTCTAATAAGAGTTATCAGAATCTGTGCAGCTGAACTTCAAGGAATACGTGCATATGAAAGATGACCCAGAAATCTACATTAGAGCCTTCTCCTCATGCAGAATAGAATGTGGCATGCAGGGCAAGCTGTGATCTATTTTTGAGTGGATTACACTTATCTCCCAGAGTCTCAGGTGATGCACCAGTATTGAAATGTTACTGCTGTGTGCTACAGCTTGTAGATGACTGATGGGTGCTTCCTCACAGCAGTGCTCTGTGGGAAAGAATTTGGATCGCTTTTGATTGCATTGACATGACTTTAGCTCTGAATATTAGGTGACTGTTTTTGCACATGCTTGTTCTTTCACCCGTGAGTGACTGTTTTTTCCTCAGAGAAAGAAGCAAATGGAGTGAAGAGTCAAAATTGGGTTCTGGGAAAGAAAGGATGGAGCCAGCCATGAATGGTTGGAGACATTGCAGTGTACACAATCCAGATCTAGAAACAGCCATACTAAAAAATATACTATATTTTAACAGCATTCTCCAAGTCATTAAAGAACTAAAATAAATATAAAACAATATTTTATTGACCCAAAGACTGACATTTGATTTTCTTTTAACTTTCTGTGACAAGGATAGAATTTCTCAATGTTAGCCGACGTATTTCTCTCAAACTCTATGTCCTGCCCTGCCTTGCTACGCAGCAGTCCCAAGATGACATATCCCACGTTTCTCCTTGGTGGTTGTGCATCCTTAAAGAGGATGTAGCTGAGTAAGGAGATTAAAGGAGCGGGGATTTAACAACCCAGGAATGACAGCCCAGGGAACTAACTTGAGAAAGAGGAAGGAAGAGTGAACACTGCAGGCAGAGAGGAACACAGAAAGTGGAAGAGTGAGGATACCTTTACCAACATCCACCCTGCCGTTCGGTCATAATGATTATGCCTCTCTCCCACGCTATGCCACCTTTCTGTGCTCCCACACTGGAAAACTTCAGGCTCTGTGCTTTGAAATGTAATCCAGTGTTGGGACTTTGTTCACCTCTTTGCAAATAAAAGGTAGCGCATTGATTCCAGCCCTGGAGTTTTTCTCTCTTTGCCTCTTTTCGTTTGACAATTGCCTGCAGTGTATTAAAATCACATAGGGCAATTTGCTGCTTTGAATCCCGGTGCTTTTCATCAAAATGTGATTATGTTTGTGCAGCATTTGCATACTTCCCCTTCGCCAAAGGAGGCTTGTTTAAGAGGAAGGAGGAAAAATATGATGTTTATGCACATCTTTAGAGGGTGCAGTGGTGAAAATTCTTGCGGCAAAATATGCTCTGATGTTTTGCATATTGATGAGTGTAGCTGAAATACTACCCCTGTCTTCAAAACTATGGGGAATTGGGCCCCGTTTCTGCTTTTATTACTTTCTGTGAAAATATCATGCATCTGTTTTGGAAGGCTAAACAGGTCAGTGCCGCCTTTTTGCTATTTAAATGAAGCTGATGGAGACAATTGATGTGAAGGATTTATCTAAGGGAAAAAAGCCCCACAAGACTAAACGTAACAATAATGAAAGTGAAGAAGATGATGGTGTTAATGATGCTCCACAGTTCTTCTGGAGGCCTTGCTGGGAGTTTCTCACATTCAGATTCTCACAGCATCTTTCTTTGTCACTTCCTGACAATCGGACACCATCTCTGTATCTCCTCCTCTGCATTTAATTGCATATTGCAGTTTCTCTTCCTCTGTCAAAGGAGAGTATGATGAAATTTGAAAGAAACTTTTAATTTTTTTTCCCCTGTTGGCTGTGCTCACAGATCTTACAGTATAAGTACTCCTGTAAAGTAGAGAATCATGCAGTCATATATGGACTCACTAAACAAAAATTTAGAATGCCAGCAAAAGTCAACCTGTTTTAGTAACTGAGATCAAAAGGTGAAGTTTAGATTATTTCACAAAGATTGAGTTTTTTTTTCTTCTAGCATTTCTTTTTGAGCATTTTGATTATTTTCTTACAGCTATAAAGGACTTCAAATGTAATTCTTAAATTCTTGATATTACTCAAGAAACAATATTATTAGAGATCTGTTCTGGCATGTGTGGCCTGCAATCCTGAAAAGATTGCAGACTGGACACTTTTTCCCTTTTACAGTCACAGTCACCTGCAAAAGGAAGCATAAGCTGCAGAAGTCCATTAACAATAAACCTGGCTTTTCAGAGTGCTTTAAGGCATTTTGTTGGAAAATTTGTGGAAGGAATTAAATGTTGTAGAAAAAAGTGCAACAATGGAAACTGTAGCTTCACACATTCAAAATGCCTAGGCTGAAGCTGGAGTCACAGCTTTAAGCGTCACCATCACAGACATATTCAGGAAATTTGCTACATCTGTCCAGTTCCCTATGTTAGGTGAAGCAATGCTAGATGTTTCTGACCTCTGCCAAGGAGAAAAGGGCTTTACTGTTGCTCCTTTGTCTATAATTCTCTTTCAAGGCAAATTTTAATCGGGCATTTCTTCCGTAAATAAAGATGTCAGAATCTGAATAAAAATGTGAGAGGCAAGGAAATCAGTTTGCTCATGGTTAAGTGTGATGTTTACTTCAGCCATGATCTGCTGCTGATCGTTTACTGATGCTGATCAAATTATGTGAAGTCCAAAGTTAAAGCAGCCATATTTCACTTCCATCTGCTGAAAAATTTAACGAATATACTGGTTTGATTTTTCAGCTAAACTCGGCCCCTGCCCACACTGACAAAAGTCCCAAATACCTGATTAAATGGCAATAGCTTCCCAGTTTTTAACACCCAGAAACCTCTTCAGACCAAAACCCAACTGAAAACCTGTGGGGTAATGACAAAGGAGTATGAGACACCGAAGCCAACGAAACTAAAGTGACCTGGAGTTATATAACACCACAACCATACCACATCAAATTAACCAAAAAAACTGTATATAGTCCACATACTGCAGTCTACTTCTAAAACATATGATGACATATTAGGAAAAAAAACATCTTTTAGATGTCAGATGTGTTTTTCAAATTTTAAAAAGCTGAATTTCTGGGGGTCATTACTTTTAAGACATAAACAAGAAAAAATATATTACTAAGTGTAGTAAGTGTACATATTGTTTTATTTATGTAACTAATTGCTGAGCTGTATGATCTTCTCAGGTACACTTTTAGATTCCCCATTAAATCCACATCTTGCATTGTTGAGTTAAAGCAAAGCAGTTAGTTACAGGTTGGGGACCTTGAGCAAACATGGTCTCTGATTCTGGTTATTTTTCCTTCACCATGTAACTGGGTTTGAAATCACTGGCCTGTTCTTCAGTAGGTAATATCTCACCTACCAGTTTGGTCTCCTGGTGAGATCGCTCCTTATCATTACCCCTCTACAAAAGAGAAGTGTAATCTCTTCTTGAAATCTGGATTATCTGTTTTTTCAGATTCTGCATGAGTCACTTCCGGCATGAGGAAGAGGGAGTCCAAATTTTTCTTCTGTTCTTTTTTATTACTTTCTTTAACTATTTTAACTCCTGCAAATATAAAATAACTGCATATAAATTGATAGATAAATTAATTTTAAATTCTGGTCATGTAAATTAGGAACCCTAATAATATTTTAGATATGAAAAAGTAATGGTTTGTATGTCATCAGTTCACATCTAGCAAATCCACATGAAGACTTATAGTGACAGATGTTCTCTTTAGTAATTTTGGGTTAAAGCTTTGAACTATGCAGTATTTTAATGCTCTAACCGGTTAATTACTTGTACTTTTGATCGGCACAGAGCTTTAAGTGAACTATTCTAACAGAAAAAAAGATTTCAGAATATACCAAATTAAAAAGGCAAGGTCACATGTGATGTTTTTTAAAAATGTGTCTATAGTCCACTCTGGTCGCATGCAGCGTTTTTTCTATTTTTTCCTCCAGCTTTTATTTTCATTAAACTGTCACAAGTACAGAACAATTAAATTAACTCACTTAATTTAATCCATCCCCTTAAAGAGCAGTTGGCTGCCATTGTGCGACAACCGGGGAGCGTTGTGGGGTTAAAGATCTTTGCTCAGGGACCCAGAGTGTGAGTCTGTGGGAGTGGGAACTAAAGACCTCAGGATTCCAAGCTGTATGCTCTAACCACTTTTTTCTGAAAGATTACCAAGTCCTGCTAGCATATTATTTAGTATTTTTGTATAGTTTGTCTATGTTCATTTTGTTATTTTTTTGTTCATAAAGTATATTTACAATTTTATAATAACACTTACAAGGAAAACAGCATTTAATACCTTGGATTTGTGTTCATTTAAATCCAAAGGTATAGCCAATTAATTCTTAATATGTATTTACTTGAATATTTCTTAGATTGATGCTGTGTCCGGTTGGTGGGAATGGGAATTTTCTTGATGTTCTGATCAAGTTTTTTTGCAGGATTTACTAGGAAGTACTAACTTATATTCAGTAGCTGCCTTCATTGTCACCACCCAGCTTTTTCATAGTTTTGCGCTACTTGTAGTTATCGCCACTACGTCTGTGTTTTGCAATTTTGATATATTTCTTGCCTACCCCAGTAGGGGTGGTAAATACCATAATGATTAAAATGATGCCATGATATCACAGATTAACATGGATTTTATGCATGAGAACCAAATTTTATCTTAAAGAATTTGGAACATGATCAAATTAACTTTTGATAACGCTGTTATGTAAATGTGATGAGAATATGAGGAAACACATGAACGTTATATTATCGTTTAACGCTAAGTAAAGTAAAGCTTGTTTTC